ACACAGCCAGGCAGACGAGCTCTGAGCCAGCTCCCATGTCAGAGGATGAAGAGAGCACATCCACTTAGTCACAGTCAGAAGCCAAGAGATTGAACTAACAGATTCTGCAGAGTGGGAGAACAGAGATAGAATGAAGCAGAATGATGAAAAGGGGTCCCTATGTCCTCTAGCAGTCTAAGCCTATAGCAGCATAACTATAGAGATATCTCAGAATGTTTTTCAATCTGTTATGCTTGAGTCACAATGACTGTATGCCTTTGTTTCCTGTTCATAGGTGACTGTCGCTGCACTCACTGAGGTCTGCTGCTACTGCAAACCATGTGTTTCCAGCTCCCATGTGTGTTTCTGTGTGTTCCTAGATGGTATTCGGCATACTTTTGGTGCTTATACCTGTTATCGTAAAACTGCAGCTATTTTCTAGTTATAGTTTTAGTAATGCTATTTTATGTTTGAGAGAAATTGTAGGCATTTATAGGATAATTTTATTGGAATTTTAAACCAACACAAAGTGGTGAATAAATGTATGGAAGGAGAATAAAACGTCATTATAACACAGTAAATACAGCCTGTCTGTTCTAATCCCAGGTTAAATGCAGCTGACCTGTGAAGCAAGCACAAATTTGTTTGAGCAAAGCTTGTTGATTAAAACTGCACCACAACACATAACATAACCTTAGAGGCATTAATGCTGATACTGGCACTTACATTTATATAGTTTATAAAACGAAACATTATTGTTAACTAGGCTTATTAACTTTTTAACTTTACTTTTTAACTTTTCAATTAGCTTTTTACCTTTTTTTCTTGACTTAACTTTTTTTAAATTAATTTACAGTAGGTAATATATCATTTAAGGGCTCATCTAATTGGTAAAATGCCTAAATAAGATGTACAGCCATATAGCAGCATCTTTGCTGAATAGAAGCACATAGATCTTGTGCTTCTAGACCTCACTGAGGGACGGCTGGGTACTCCATTTGTAAGGGCTTTGCAAGTGATCAAAAAGGCTAACTTGCCCTATAAAGGGTTAAGATTCGGCATGCAGAGTAAAAAGGTACATCACATGAAGTGTGGGACGTCATACCCCAGCGTGCCCTGGCTCAAGATAACTCTATTCCCTCCTACTAGGAAAAATGATGTGCTGATGACAAGCGTCAAGCCTCGTCTGCACTAAATAAGCGTCTGTCTGTACTCAGTTTGATGGCTGTTCTTTCCTCGGCCCAGATTAGCAGCAGGGCAGACATGTAGTTCCTCTTCCCCTCCTTCAGGGGACATTAGTTACATGCATAATGTAAAGCCACCTTTTATTTGATTGACACATTGGGTATTGGAAAAAACAGACATAGCTAAAAAAAAAAAAAAAAAAAAGGTACCGGTAAGTGAAAGCACATGAAACCGACAAAAGCATTAATAACAAATGACTTCAAATTAACCAATAAAAATGAGCTTTCAAATCGTAATTGAACAGAGACATAAAACTAAAGAAGCTAATAAAACAGGCCTGGACAAAAATGATTGTTCCTCTAGAAAAGGTTGAACAGAATTCAGGATCAGGAACAGGTAGACATGCCCATGGGGGTTTGAATGCATGCCAGGGGTCCATAAACCAGTCTTGGCCTTTTTTTTACTCTCTCTTAACAGAGAAAATAGAGAATCAGTGTTGGTGCAGCAGCGCCATCTGCTGTTTGCTGCTATACCTGCAGTCAGTGGTGTGAGTTTTCACAGCGTTCATGAAACATAGCAATCAACACCATCGAATGAATATATAGGAGATATAAAAGGTTATGTGTTGCATGGTGTGCCTGGGTATCCATGTGTGTTATGGAGGTGGAGACTCAAAGGGAGGCGGGTGTGCACCAATAGGTGTGCACACACCTGTCTCACTGAAGAGAAGGGTGGGACTGCCGTAATTTAGTTTGACCGCTTCATTTCATTTTGCTTCAGTATTCATTGATCGAATATTAATTAACGGGTCTCACTTTGTTTGCTACAATCATCCCTGCTGCGCTGTCATAACTCATGCTAATAAACAAAACAAAAGCATCCTGGATTTCGGTGTACCTGTAACAATAAACTATTAAGCGCGTCACAAATGGGGCAAGAAACGAGGACCCAACCCAACTCTCAGTGGCCAAAAGTATTTGTTTTGAAGCCGCAATAAAATATTAATAAAATCTTTAAAGGCTAAGAACATTCATGTAAAATGACGTTAATGTTAAAGTTATTGTGCCATATTTTCAGGTAATTTATTTAGGGTTACTGTATTTTATTGATGAGGTTTTTTTTTATCCTTTGACTACTGGGGTGTGTCAGGCTAAAAACCTTTACATTTTAGTTATTATGGTTCATTAAATAAATGACAGTGCTGAAAAATTCCAGTTGGTACAAAATGTTTCTAACAGTTATAAAATGTTAGGCTTTCAGAGCGACAGTTTAAATGTATTTAAAGAGAACAAAATGAAATGCAAATATTTATTTGTTGGAATGGGTGGGTCAGAAATATTGTCAATCTTCAGAGGAAGGGGGCAGACAGTGTTCTGTCTAGGGTTCCTACAGCATAAGGCAAGTTAAATTCAAGACTTTTTAAGACTTTTTAATGTCACTTGAAATAAAAATTTAAGACCAAATTCACAAGAAACACAAGAAAAACCCGCTTGTGACAACTTAACCCAAAGGTTTATTTTAACATAAACCACTGCACTAATGTTTCTAATGTTGAAAAGCTTCCCATACAGGAAGAAAGCTAAAAACACACAAATGACAGATATATTTGAACACTTATTTAACTGAATTCACAAACTTTGTTTTAGCAGGGAACAAAAAAATCAGGTTTAAAGCCACAACATAACCAGTGCTAAGTCTTTTTAGCAGCTATTTTTCTATGTTTCGTTTTCTTAGTATGTTTGATTTGGTGATAAGTGGAGGCGTTGCAGAGACAAGGGTGGAACTAAACTGAGAAATACCAGATGTTTCTCTGTAACTCCATTTTGACGCTTTGTGTTTCGTGCTTCGCATGTGCGACTCCACCGCCTTAATTCCCATCGTTCTGAGCTTGAATGACTTCTTGCATAAAATCCACTGAGCCTCATGTATGTTCCCTGGTTTTAGCCATGGAGAAAACTCTTGGCTGAATAGACAATTTACATTTGTTCATATTTTCCATACACAAAGTAAATGGTGCATCTCCCAAATGTCCCGGCCGCAGCAACGCTTTTATTGGTTCCGCTATCGGGACGGAACCAATAATGGCGAGCCATTATTTTTTTAAATTAAAAAAAGAAAGAAAAAAAAGGTCAATTTTAACATTTTATTTAGATTACAAAAATAAATCCTTATAAAAATAATCCTATTTATGATGTTTTAAAAATTAAGACCTACAAAAGACTGATTTAAGACATTTTAATACCAATTAAGGCCTTAGTTTTATTTTGGAGAATTCAATGCCTTTTAAGACTTTTTAAGGACCCGCTGGAACCCTGTCTGTCAGAGCAGCATACCCATAGTCAATACCCATCTTTTCCTTTAGTTTATCCCTTTAGTTTTCTACAAAAAAATTCACTTTAAACTACCTCAATGGGCGTGTATCCCCTAGTCATGTACAAGAAAACAAATCACTTACTTTTTGGTGTTTTTTGAAGCATATGGTGACCTGACCTTAAAGGAAAAGTCCGCTCATATTCAGAATTCAAACTTCTGAAAGTACTTTAAATATTAAAGTATTACATTCTGTTCAACAAATGATCAGTGTTTTTAATTCAGAGTAATTTTCATTTGAATGTCCTTTACTAGAGGCATCCATGTTGGTCAAAGAACACTACTGCCACCTACTGGTTTGTGACGTCACGGTGCGGTATCGGCTGTTGATCAAGTCCCAGTGCATGAACCCGTCCGTGGAGGATCAGGAATCGAAAAAGTGAAATAACTTTTTTTTTTTTTTCCACTTTTCCCCGAAGTATTCCAACATCCAGCTGCCATGCACGTGGGCATTGTCAGTTTCACTATAGCTCTGGTGAATTTCAATGGTGAAGTCCTCTGGAAATAATTTCCATGGAGAGCTCCTGCTATCTTTAGTTGACCTTATGGGTGTAAT